TATATATATATACATATATATATATATACATATATATATATATAATAGAGATGGAGAAAGGTTTGACACTGGTTTGATAAAAACGTTTTAACGTTTATTTAAAAAGATGTTAAGACGTTTCGACCAGTGACTTAGGTCTTCGTCAGTTAAAAAGTTAACTAGGTTCAAAACTGAACAATATATAAAGGTTCAGAGTTAACTAGCAGATAAGTATTTTATACACATCTGGTATCTCGACATGGTGGTTTCTTGCGTTATGATCCTTGAGGGAATACCAAGCCTCTAAGAACAAACGTTCGCGATAGTTCTTTGTCTTGTTGACAATGGTGGCATTGCTGAAGTCAATTCGATGGTCGTATTGTTCGGCATGCTTATAGCGACTTTTGAATATTGGTCGAATTGCGAAACAGCTCGTTCGTGTTCTCTTATTCTAGTTTTCAGTGCTCTGTCTGTTTGGCCGTAATACACAAAGTCACAATCGCAGCAACAGATCTTGTAAATGACTCCGCTTCTCTGCTTGTGTGGTAACTTGTCTTTGGGTTTGGGGAATTGGTGGGAAAGGGTACTGGTAGGTTTATAGCACACTTTGATATTTTCTCTCCTTAATACTCGGGAGATCTTTTCTGCAACGCCTTTGACATACGGTAAGACTACAAAACTGGGAGCAACACAATCTGCGGGGTTTGCCCTGTTGTTACTGACATCAGAGGTGTGCAAATTAGCATTGGTGTTATCAGTATGACGGCGTAATTCTCTTGATATCGTAAGACTTTATAAACTTAAATAAATGGGTAACCGTTGTCTCTCAAGACTTTGAATACATGTTTTCTTTCTCTGCGTTTTCCTTTGTTGGACGAGGGAATTTTCTCAGCTCTGTCGAGGAGAGTATATTTAGGACCGACGGTTTGTGTTGCATGGGATGGTGTGAGTCGTAGTGCAGGTATTTGTCTGTGTGAGTTGGTTTTCTGTATATATCCACTTCTACTTTGCCGTTAGAGCGGATAGTCACGGTATCCAGGAATGGGAGGCGTCGGTTTTCTTCCAGTTCGATGGTGAATTGTAAATATGGGTTTATAGAATTGAGGTGGTTATGAAATTCGTTCACCTGGGTTTTCTTCAGACAGGAATGGCTATCGTCGACATATCTGAACCACCACCGTGGGGGATGTGGTGCTGTAGAAATTGCAGTTTCTTCCACATGCATGTTCCATAACTATGTCAGCAATTGTAGCGGGGTGATCCCATAGCATAACCTGATATCTGTTGGTAATATTCATTCTTATATATGTGAAGAAACTGTTCTGAAGGACGAACTCTAATAATTTTGTGATGTTATATAGTAATCGATATGTCTGTTCTTTGTGTCAACAAAGAATTTCATAACCACCTCAATTCTATAAACCCATATTTACAATTCACCATCGAACTGGAAGAAAACCGACGCCTCCCATTCCTGGATACCGTGACTATCCGCTCTAACGGCAAAGTAGAAGTCGATATATACAGAAAACCAACTCACACAGACAAATATCTGCACTACTACTCACACAATCCCATGCAACACAAACTGTCCGTCCTAAATACTCTCTTCGACAGAGCTGAGAAAATTCCCTCGTCCAACAAAGGAAAACGCAGAGAAAGAAAACATGTATTCAAAGTCTTGAGAGATAACGGTTACCCATTTAAGTTTATAAAGTCTTACGATATCAAGAGAAAACGCCGTCATACTGATAACACCAATGCTAATTTGCATACCACTGATGTCAACAACAACATGCCAAACCCCGCTGATTGTGTTGCTCCCAGTTTTGTAGTCTTACCGTGTGTCAAAGGCGTGGCAGAAAAGATCTCCTGAATCAAGGAGAGAAAATATCAAAGTGTGCTATAAACCTACCAGTACCTTTGGCCTTTCCCACCAATTCCCCCAACCCAAAGACAAGTTACCAGGTTGCTGCGATTGTGACTTTGTGTATTATGCCAAGCTTTGTTTGGCATATTTATTACTATATACCAGACTCGTCCCCAGTCGTTATTTGAATTTCAATTTTATAGGGACGAATAGGTATATCCATATATATAGCCCACTTCTGACCGCGCGCCCGCTCTTAAAAAGCGACTGGGGACGAGTCTGACTATATACAGTTTCGTACCATGTAAGTAACGTGGCACTCTTATCTGGTTATCCATTGAGCACTCTATACATATACCGGGTGGCCCAAA